TCTGAAGCCTCACCTTCTTCATCCTTCTCTGCTGCATATTCTTCTTCAGATTCTTCCTCTTCTGCATCATCCTCATCTGAAGCCTCACCTTCTTCCTTCTCAACATCCCCGTTCTCCTCAGAATTATCTTCTTCCTCATTATCAGCATTGTCATCTTCCTCCTCTGCTGTCTCCTTCTCATCCTCCTGTTCTTCTTCCACCTTTTCATCAGTCTCTACATCATCATCATCTGAGTCTTCATCTTTTTCTTCATTCCCCTCACCAACCTCAGCCGTTTCACTTTCTTCAGCTTCAGCCTCCTTAGCATTTCTATCATGGAGGCTTTCCTCCAGTTCGTTCAAGTCTTGGGCACTTACAATAGCAGAGAAAGGGACCTGGGATGAGCACAGCAGTACAAGCAGGAGACCTACCACCCAAAACTTTACAGGTGCCATCTTGGGCGAAATGCAGCTTTGGAATTTGAAGACTGTCTTATTCTTGTTACTCTATTCTTCCACCAAAAACCAAAACAGCTGATGGAAGACAAAAAGCTGCTAAGGCGCAGCAAATTTAAGCTGTTCAGGTCTTTTTCTCAGGCTCCCGAGAGACGGTTTGAAAAGAAGTGTGCTCACAGAGAGCAGTGTGCCAGCCTTGTGCTGGGAACACAGAGGACACAGTGGAAACACGACTGTGTGTGGCTGTGTATACTTGAGTGACAGAGGCACATGGCGAGGAAGAATGCTCCTGATGCCCTTAACACAGAGCATTAGAGAGGTGAGTGTATGCATTTGGTGGATGGGGGAGGGGGCTACTGAACTGCAGGAGGGGGGCAAAAAAAAATTCTTATTAGAAATGACAACAATTAAATAATTTGAAGATAAAGTTATGGTTCTATACACAGCTTTTGTTGTCATAGCTCCCAAACTATTCAGGAAAGAGCAGAACTTTGATAAATATACTATGTGTGGGGTCTTTTAGATTAATGGTTCACACATTTTTGGAGTATTCTTCTCAGTATCTGCTATTTAATTTAGTGTACACAGCAAAATTAATTTCTTCTTGCCACTGCTGAAGCAAATGAGAATACGTAAGGATCATGCAGACGTGCATGTACATGCAAGGAAATGGAGAGGAAAGCACTTTGAACATGTGCTTACTTCCCCAAAATAGCATTTTTTGGTCTTTTTGGGGTTTTTTTTTAAACTTTCGAGCCAGCAGAAGGAGAACAGTGTTATAAAGTCCACACTTACAGTGGCACAGTCAGCTACAATACTGCAGAGAGCAGCCAGGCTGAAAGCGATGACAGTGCCTCTCAGTGTGAGTTGCTCCTCCTCCGGCAATTGACAGGTGACGCAGCTATTTACAGTGAAGGCTCCTTCAATGGCTTGTTCCACTATGTGACCTTCAATGGAGCCATGACAGACTGAAACTCAGCACCAGCATGCTTCGTTAACACTATCCACAACACTTATGTGCATAGTAGATCCAACTATTACAATATTACAATGTATTTATTAATGACAAATAATAGGTTCTTTCATCAAGTTTACTAAAATGATCACATTCAAAAGCATTTTTATTATTATTCTTTATTCATTCAAGTCTCACTGAGATTTAAATCTGTTTTTAAAGACACACCTTGGCAAAGAGCGGAGCAGAAGTTTCAGCAAATACACAAAGAAAAAGCTAATGCAGTCCAGTCCAGACAGGTGAACACAAAAAAGCAAACATTATTACAAGAGTGGTAATAAAAGCAGTCAAACTGGCCCAAAGAGCTCACACTTCTCACACTTTTTAAAATGGACTTAAACTCCCCCATCATGAGTCTGATAATCAGTTGTGCAGTCTGAAACTTCTTATGTAGATTACTGCAGCACAAAGGGGACAGGATATTTTAAAATGTCTATTCACAACTCCATTCTGACCCTGGAGACAAACATTTGTATAATATTGTGAAAGTGTAGACTGGTTGTGGTTTTTACATATACAGACACATGGCTTTTTTCTGGCTTTATTAGATAGGTGCAGTGAAGAGTTACAGGAAAGCAGAGTAAGGCGAAAACATGTGGCAAAGTGCTGCGGGTCAGATTTGATCCCAGGCCAGGTGCTCTCAGCCATATGGCATATGGTCACCTGCTCATCTCAGTGACCTAAACTGGTGCCCTCGACCAGACATTTCTAGATTAAAAAACAATTATATACAGAGATGGGGATATTCAGAAATGGCCACTTAGCAGCAGCATACAGAGAACAGTCATGTACATAATTTTCGCAACTAGTGATAAAACATAAAGCACAATAACAAACAGTATACAGCCTCTTTAGGTGCTGCCCTGGTATGTTTAAAAGGAGCAGATCACAGTAATGCAAAAAGGAAAGGAAAGGGAAAAGAAGTTTAATGAGACTGAACAACATCTAAGACTGCCTAAAGAAATTCAAGTGTTTGTACTAATCAAGTAGATGAACAATAGATAATTGTGTCATCTGCATAAAATGAGAATTCGAAAGAAACCTAGATTTGACCTTTGGTTTCTTTTCTTACATAACTTGTAACACCAGGTAGCCCTACAAGTACATTCCAGACAGGCCTGACACTGTCTGGAATGTATTTGCTCACTCTGCACTTTGATGTTGTGCCAAGAATTAGACAAGAGAAGGAACCTTTTTTTGTATAGTGCAGCCACGTAAAACAGGCATACACCTGTCACTTCTAAGAATTTCTCTACAAGGACATACAAGGACAAGGATAATGATCTAATAAGAAAAAAATCTCTGAAATTATTTAAATAATCCAAATATCAATACTTTGGTCTCATTTGTCCAAAAGACATACCACATGAATTGTGGCATGCTTTTTTAACCAAACTCTCAGCAACAAATTATTTTGTTCTCCTATTAAAAATAAATGTATTATACTGCATAAAAACTTGATCAAATAGAAAACAATAATGCAGACATAAAAATATGGCCCATATTTGCAGTGTAACGGAACAAAAAAAAAACTATTAATGTGTTCTCAATATGACCCCTGATAGACAACATCACAGAAAATCCGACTACAATGTAAAAGATTTACTAAGCGCTTTTAAAACTAAAGCAATGAAGATGAGATGTTATCTGCTTACTTACTGCAATAAAACCCAAGTGAAAGCAGTGTGACTTTTTCAACATGCAGGCTGTTTTGTAAGCAAAACTGATTTCATAAGTTCTGGGAAGTACCTCGTAACACAGGTGGGGCACGAGGAGGTTTAACTGTACTTCCTTGTGCTAAAGTATCCACAACCCAGTTGAGGACAGTTGAGTAATGCTCCATCTGAGAAGAAAGAGCAGAATATCAGAATATCATAAAAGTCCAGAATAGAATAGAGTTATTCTTAAATCTAAATGAAAACCAAGTGAGAAAAGGATGACTTATTTTTTATTGATATCAATAATGAATAATGGCAGAGATATATGTGATCAAGCTTTCTGTTCATTGCATGTCTTGTCTTTGTGTCTATAACAAAACACAAAACAGACTGAAATAATCTGTTTAATTTCAGTATTTATATCAAATAAATATTATGTAGTCCCATTTGAGCATTAACATAAAGTACTATTTTAATAATTGGAAAGCTCAGAGAGTAAAAATGTTTTTGTGCTAAAAGGTGTTTTGTCTCCTACTGGAGAAAATCATCTTGAATAAGGAAACTGCATCATCAAAGACACACATGAGGGCAGCAAAGCCTAGCTTAGCTTAGTTCAAAGACAGATAAAATAGAGACTGCTTGCCTGGCTCCATCTAGTGACCAAAATCCACCTACCAGCCCTACTGAAACTCACCTTTCATTTCTACAAACTAATGTGCAACCAAAACTATTGGCTGTTTTTTTTCTCCAAAATATTAAATACGCATTACTTACCATCACCCACATTATCTCTGACCTCAGCCAGCAAACAACTTTACATAAACCCAACTTAAACTGCCTTTCTGCTTTATAGTAGGTGTTTTCCCCCATGTTCCATCTTTCTGTCATTATACTCTCTAATCTCTATATAAAATACTTTGACTGTGCAGACATGCATTTCTACATTTGTATGAGGAATGAGTCAAAGGGTATTAAATGACAAAGTGAGAGCTTCAGAAAAATGCTTCTGTTTTACCTGAGCCTGTAGTCTGTGTTCAAACTCTTTGCTTTCAGTCAGACGTTTAAGCACATCATCTACCCTATAACAAAAAAATAAACATTCTTCAGAATGATGGAGTCACAATTTCATTTTGCTGCTATAGTGGAGCAGGATGCTTTGCTCACTTGGCAGACATCCGTTTGAGCCTTTCTGAGTCGCTGCTTTTCTGGATCTTGTTTCGAGCAGTCAGGAAGTCTTCCTTCTGAATCGTTTCCCACGTTGATAATCTGTTCGCTGCCTTTGCTTCCAAGTCTAACACTGATAGAAAAGACAAAGGTTTGAATTGATTACCTTTCAACTCACTGTTTGTTTACATCGGTGCTAAGCTGAGGTCAGTTTGCAAATAAACAAAGAGCCCATTCTCATTTAGACAGTGCAATTTTTAGTGAGTAACTTAGTGATAACATGGCAACAACTGATCAAAAAACCCCATAAAAACTCATTTGTGAACAACAACAACTGGAAGATATTTAACAAAGTATCCAATTCCAATCAACTGTGGCTTTCTCACCTGTTACACTTATTATTTCAATATAATAAAGCAATAACTTTTATTATTTTAATTATTTTAAATTAATTTATTAATTTCTATTAAATTAATACATTTATTGTATTATTGTGAACTAAGACTCCTGATCCAATACTGACCAAAGTGGTGGATCTTTACAGAGGGCACTTTGTGGATGATCCTCTTGATAAAGACTTTGATGTGTGAGAGGATAATGAAAGGCGGAGCCAAAGAAGGACGGGAGTGGTACTCGACAATCAGGTTGTAACGCTGGAACTTCCAGTAGGTGTCACTGTCTTCCTGCACTTCAGAGAAAGTGTAGCTGTGTGGATACAAGCAGATCAGAGCCACTGAGTCAAGTCAAACCATTCACAATTTGTGAATGCAGCCAGAGAAACATAATGACAGACTGGTTCTTTACCTAAACATGGCAATAAGCAGGTTGATGAGCAGGATGTTGGTGACCAGGAGATATACGACTAGCAGAATCACTACCAGCCAGTTACTATCCTGATTTCTACACGGCTCTTCTCCGCTCTCAATCAAAGTCACATTGTCTGTGCAGTTTAGTTCCCGGCCCACTGTCACAAAATAGAGATAAAAAGAGAAAGGTTAAAATAAGGGTTACAATTATAAAAAAAATAACTCAATTTCTAATTGCTGTGATGAATTTTAAAAAGCTGCAGTAGAAAAAAAGCAGCATTTTAAAACTGATTTCAGTGTAATAACAATTTTCTTATTTTCATGCAAATTGCACAAACACTTGTACCATCCATCTCTTCCTCGATGGAAGAGCCATATCCAAAGATGTGCAAGTATGGCATATAGAAAACTCTCAGAAAAATGCGATTTAGATTTGGATCGTAGGTGTAGATCAGAGCCTGATTGGCAACTCCGTACGCCAAGACCCACACGCCCAGGAAGAAGAGGAAGAAGAAGACATCCTTCATCTGAACAAGAGGAGGAAATTGTCATGTTGTTGCTCACATTGTATTATTAAACACATATTCCTGGTATATTGCCAACTGATGGTAACTTTCTCACCATATTTCCTACAATGATGAGTTTTGGTCCCAGCTGCTTGTGAATGGCAAAAATGTGAATGAGGCGAAGGGTGAAGACCATGTAGTCCAAACACAGGACATCTCGGCCAAATTCATGTGACCAGTGGAACATCCTGAAATACAAGCACAGCATCACTGAATCAATGAGACAGCAGCACCACCTGGTGGCAAACCTGTAAATTAACCAGTGACATTTGGTTGTTAACTGAGGAAATGTTTTAAATTTAAGTGACTAAAAACTAAGTATTAAAAAAATTATTTGAGACACACTTAAGAAGCCAAACAAGTACCACAAAACAAATACTGTGATTTCTTAAATGTTACAATCATGCAATGACAAACTAAACTGTTTGTAGTGTTGTGGAAAGTTTTTGATGGGCAATCTAAGATTAAGATATCATTTTTATATCTTGTCCATACCTGCAAATCAGTCCGACAATGAACAGGCTGATGGCAGTGAGGTCACATTTATTCCACACATCCTGAATGTAGAGTCTGAAACTTTGACTCCAGGTCGTCCCCAAAAAAAGCGTCTTGAAGAAGACGAAAAAAAAATAAACTTAACAGATCGTCAGAAAACAAAAACTACAATAATAAAAACTATCAACATACTTTAGTATGATAATAGTGTTTATGTACCTGCCTATGCATGCACCTTGAAGCTTATTAATTTTGTTTATTTATTTTTGTGTCCATCTTCAATTTAATGCTTGTGTTCCAATGACACACATATTGTCTCTTTCTACTATGTGCAATTAAAAAAAAGATTTCAATTAAGTGCATATTGCTGCATTCAGTTGTTCACTTCACATTTTATACAGTTAAACATTTTGGCAAACAAAGTAAGAAAGTAAGTTCTAAGTAAGATGTTTCTCTTCACTCACCTGTCGGATCTCCTCACAAACGAGGGTAAATACCCAGAAGTACAACACACACTCAGTGGCAGCTGGACCTGAGGGGGGTGGAGGCTTGAAATCCACCAACAACACGTAGGCGAAAAGCAAGAGAAACAGGAAGTACATCAGGACGTTGCCCAGAAAAGAGGTGACCGGTGCAAACCAGAACTGACGCCAGCGTGACACTATGAATGGACGCTGTGGTGGTCGTTGGGGTACGCCTGTATCAAAGATTAGAAACACAAATAAGCAGGTGACTAAAAATGACAGCATCTGCAGCAAGAATCAGATGACTCTTTAAACAGGACTCACCTTTAATGGCATCACTCTTTTGACCTTCTGAGTCAACTTCACTGAGATATTAAAAAAACATTTTAAAGTAAAAGTAAAAGTAGACTAATGCAAATAAATAACAAACTGATGTTTTACAGATTAATACTGAAGAGTGCAGATGGAAATATTACCGCTGCTTGATGTCAGAGAAAGAGAAGACAGTGGTCCCATAGAGACTGTCAGTGTCCAGCTCATCCTCAAAAGGCATCCTCTCCTCCTCTTGCTGATCGTATTGATTCCTGCGGGGAAAAAAGTGGCAAATGTTTAAAAAAATATTAAAAAATAACTTACAAACCTTAAATTAAAAATTTTACCTGAAAGAGATGAGGGTGGTGTAGCAGAGGATGGGGCAGAAGAACGCGAGCAGAAGCTTCCAGATCTCTGTGTTCCTCTTCATATCACCCCACCAGATCTGGGACAGCAGAGACTGGAAGAGCACAGAAAAGCAGTCCTTGTCCATCAACAGCAGCTCACCGGCTCAACATGAAGTGTTGTGTTATTTTACAAATATCATGCTATATTTCCTTTGTAAAACTCATCTGCTATTTGAAATCATGACAACAACATGAATTAAAGATATGACACACCTGTACACCATCATTACTGAAGAAACGCCGTGCATCAGCACTCACACCCATCTGAAGACAGGTGCTGTGACCCCAGACAGGAGACTTTCTAATCAGCAGGCTGAAAGAGCGGTTTTCATCACTGCGATAGCAAGAGCTGAAAATATCTGAGGTAAAGTGGACACAAGACACATGACAAAGAGTTAGATATGTAACAAAATAATAACAAACCTAAGCTGTTAAAAGGAAAATTCAAAGGGCTCTTTGTGAAATGGTTTTGAAATATCTAATTATTATAGCATCAACAGTAGCAGACAGTTGTAGTTATTGTCTCACCATGAGCCAGGTTCTCAAACTTCTGGGCCAGTTCTTTCATGGAGAGTTTGGTTTCAGTCTCATCCTCCCGTTTGGACAGTTCTCTGAGTATCTTACAGCCACCAAGAGCACTCAGGACTGCCTCACCTGCCTGGAAAGCAAGCAATTATATATTTTCTTAGAGGAACACTTTGAAAACTCATTAGATTTCAATAGGGAAAAAATCATATCTGTATTGATGTGGACTG